TTTGGTCTGGGTCTCTGGATCTGTGAGCTAACCACGCCCGTTCATTTGCATATAAGGAATGGAAATGTCTCATCATGAAATACAAGTCACCTGAAATAAATAAATGTGTCATCATGAAATACAAGTCATCTGAAATAAATAAATATGTCATTATGAAATACAAGTCTCTTGAAATAAATAAATGTGTCATTATGAAATACAAGTCTCTTGAAATAAATAAATGTGTCATTATGAAATAAAAGTCTCTTGAAATAAATAAATAAATGTTTCATTATGAAATAAAAGTCCCATGAAATAAATAAATGTGCATTTAAATGTACATGTATACATATTTATTGCCTCATTTATTTATTTCATAGGCATATTTATATATATATGTATTTATGTAATTATTTATGTATTTATTTAATTTTGGCTTAAATGGCATTCCATACCTAACTTCCTTTCGTCTGTCCTTGATATATACGTATCTGTGCTAACCAGTATTCATTAAAAAACACAGAACACACTGTACCTTAGGATCAAGGATGATATGAGGCCACACATCACCTTTTAGCATAATTTCCGTTTCCCTTAATCCTATTAACATGTTTCGTGAGAAGCACTAAGAATAAATAATTTGTGAAGAAGGGGGGAAAATCATGGAAGCTTCCTCGAGAATGGGACTGAGGGATTTGCTCAATCTATTGATCACTCCCTTTGAAGCTGATGGACTCGATTAATTATTTAAAGGGATCTTTAAACAAGGTAAAGTGCTTTGAATGGAGGCCACGAAGCTAGACCAAAAAGCTATGTATAGCTTGTCTGCCCCGAAGAATAATGCATACTAAAATTAACAATATGCATTTTTGAGGGCACAGAGTGCTGCCTTTGAATGTCAGGGTCAGTGCTTGTAACTGCAAATGTTTCATTAAACTTTGACCTTTGAGTGCAAGTTATACAGCAGGGACATTAGGCAAGGGCAATGCTGATCCAAAATATACTGTAGGGACACCATGTCAGTATGTGGGTCTTCAACAGAATGTGTACATGTTGCATCTTGAAGAAGTTTGCTTTAACATTGTATATCGTATTGTCAGTGATTCATGTTGCATTCACCTGTGTAAGGTTTCATGGGGAGAAGGAGCTACACATAGACTTGTATACAAGATTGTTTCTTTTGCAGGGGTGAGTGGGCAATAATCAGGGAGTGAATAAGTGCAGCAATAATCCTACGGCCTGAAGTCAATAACAGTTGGCATGGCTCTGTGTGTCCCTGATTACGCACACATGCACAATGACGTCCCTGACTAACAATAGCGCAATATTCAATAATCCTTTTCTCCACCGCTCTGCCCGACTTATTTCACTCTGCTGCTCTTCCTTTCTTGTTCAATCTCTAAATGTCTATCTACTCCATTTCTTTTCATATCTAAGAGGCACGGATGGAGGCCAATTCAGAAAATGGATGCCAGACAAAGCAAAATAAGCATAAGTGAAGAAGCAATGTAATTGCTCAATACCAAAAGGTATTGGATGGGTTGGATGGCTTGGATGGCGCGGAAGCTTTTAGAGAACATAATTAAGGCATTTTCACCCAATTTCTTGCACTTAACTATGACACTGGCACAATACCCGGCTGTACATAAGATTTGAAGAGGAGGCTATGGTTTTGTTCTCCTTCCACTCAGTATAAAATACATTTGGCTGTGGTTTAATTCAAAGAAATCAATTGTTAATGCAAGTTTATTTTTAAAGGTTTCTATAAAATTAACCACCGATAAATGCATCACTTTTTACCTTGAAAATATGGCAACATACTTTAAATAAATGGCAGTTAATGATCTAAAAACTGAAATGTTTCATATTATGAGACAGCAGTATAAAAGAGAAACAAACAGGGTATGGAAGACATAGCTGCTTCCATCACTAACAAATCAGGGGCCTCTGGAGAATGCTGAACAGTGCGACTTTGAAAGCAGCAGGATACACGCCCCTACCAGCATGTGATTGTCCACCCTCAGAAACGCACTACAGTGACTGTGGTGAAATGCTGACCTTGACAAGTTCCACACACACAACAGATGAGTTTGCTTCATCAACATTAGTTTCAAATAAAACACAACCGAGCCACTTTCTCAAAAGCAACAGATAACTCAGATACAGCACATGGGTTTAGACGCAGATCTATGTACTTCTAAGATTATTATTATTATATTATATTTGAATTATTCAGTTGGTCAAAGAAGGGAACACAATAAAATAAGGGGCTAATATAATCTATAAACGTATACTGACACTTATAGTTGAACAATTGATCAGAATAATAATAAAGATAATATCTGTGTAACAATTGGCAATTTGTTTTGGCAAGTTCAGTTGCTAACTTGCTACGTTTGATGACTGATGAAAATGTTGTCAGAGTGAAAATCTAAGAGCACATCATTCAAATGAATTTACTTCCTTCCCACCCAATGCTTTACCGAAAAGTGGCCTTCACAATAGAGAGTTCAGTAATTGAACAGGGGAAAGGGACCAGGTTGAAAGAAAAGATTAGATATAATGAGAGAATAGTCTGTCTGCACAATTAGAACTTTAATTAAAGCCTTGGAGGACGCCAGAGGCAGCAAGACCGCTGGCCAATACATGTAAAGGTTATCTTCCTGCTGGCCAAGCAAGAGGAAAAACAAATCACCCCCTAAAGCCAAAAGTGACTAGCATGTCGCTGGTCTGGAAAGCATGTGTGCGTGTATATGACCAGGGTTCGAGTTACTGTATGTGGGAGCCAATGGGAGCTGAGCTCCCACAAGGAGGGGTCTGAGCTCCCACGGACGCAGTGAAATCATACATCTGTGGGGGTGGCTAATACATTACCAACAACCATTATTTTAATCACAAATAATGCATGTGTCAATGTAATGAGTGTTATTTACGTTAACGAGGTAAATAGGCTAAAAGAAAAACATGTTTTCCAAAATAACTAGGCATTCTCTTAAAGAGCAACTTGCAGGTTTTTACTACATTTATGCTTAACCTTGCCTGAAAATTACAATTAAAAATGTTAATGCAGGATTTGATATGTTTTACAAGACATAAGGGCAGGAATTCAGAGGGAAAGGAGCCGTTTTGAGCTCTGCTACTAAAAACAGCTTTTTTTTAACGTCATACGTCAAACGCGCCATATTAAGTTACATGGGGGAGCAACTTTCTCGGACTCGTTCTCTGCCCAATCCGCGGTAGTAGTTTGTAGTTGGTTTGAGCGGTTGTGATTTAGTGAGCTGGTATTTTTTCGTTAATTTTACATTGCATTTCACCATTTGTAATCATGGTGAGCTGGAGTTTGTGCAGGTTGCACAAACTCCAGCTGTCAGGACATCGACTCCACAGTTTCCCTAACAGGAAAAGGACCGGAGCTAGCTTTCGTTCCTGGGTGCGTTGTGCATCCACCTCCCTGCACCACATACTCTCCACAGCTTAATATATTGACAAGACTGAACTGCTTTTCCTTCCGGGAAAAGATTGCCCACTCGAAGCCTATCAAACAAAATGTTTATCAGGAAACCATATTACATCTCTATCCCCCCTTCGTTCCCCTCTCTCTCCCCCCTTTGCTCCTCTCTCTCTCCCCCTTCGCCCCTCTCTCTCTCCCCTCCAGTACACAGCACCGTAGTGTGGAGTTGCATTAGGTAACGCGAGATACGGCTGATACTTGCGCATTAGTTTCTGTTATGGATCAGTATCAACAGTCCTGCCAGTAACGTTACTATATTATCAATGCTACTTTAGTTATAGCCTGATATATATATGATAGCTAACTTCACAATGTTGTGATGTGACGTTAGCTAACATTAACTGTAGTATTAGCTTTGTTCGTTATTCTCGCGTCCAGGAGAGAAGCTTAGGATAAATGAGACCAATGGAGTCTCTCGAATAAGGTTCAAATGGGTAATTTTATTAAAATGGCGCGGTAATGTTACAAGCAAAATATTGTTCAGTCAGAAAACAGCTGTCTTCTCGGCATCTCGAGAGCGAAGGAAGGGCCGAGAAACACACATCAGCTGTTTAAGTATTCCTCCGATGGCTCCTCCTGGTATGCCGGTTGGCGCTGCCCGGGGCCGGCCCTCCACTCATCTTCAATGTCCGTTGTTGCGCATAACAGAGGATTCAGACATTGGAAATTCAATTCATAACTAAACGCGCCTTTTCTCCTCATATTCTCTTCCATTAATTTTCATTTATTGCATTTTAACGTAATCAATACTTTAATAATACTGGAAATACTTTACGGCA